TAGACAATGATAAACAGTGACAGTAATTATTATTATAATAAAATACATTTAAAAATAAAGATTTCTTATTAATTATTTTAATATTAATAATATAATAATCTAAATAAATTAATACATTTAATTATAATAATATTGTCGTGCCAAGCGGGGATGGAATGGAGACAAAGGCGCAGACGTCAGGGTATCGGGGAACACAGGGGTTTAATTACAGGTAAGGCAGGCAAAACGCAGACGGACAATACAATGACTGGACTGGGGAAACAAACTGAAACGCGGACTAAATACAGAGGACTAATGACAACAACCAGAAACAGCTGATCACACAGGGATTCCACACGGGGTTAACGAGGGGGCGTGGCACACGGAAGGAGCGGACGATCGGGGCAGGAAACATTGTTTTTTTTAACTTTACACATTGTTTGGATACATTTTGGGGCCGGGAACACCAATAATGGAAAACCAATTAATTGGTTTTCCATTATTTCTTATGGGGTAAATTCGATCAGAACTCAAACTTTTTAGGATTTGATCTGGAGTTCTGAAAAGATTAAGTTCGAGTTTCGAGGTACCACTGTAATCAATTGACATTCAAAGAGAATGGAAAACATTAAGTGCAGGCATGATATATATATATAATTTTTTTCCCAGAGCTGTATGTCATTCACACAGCTTATTTAATTGAGGATCATATGAATATGAAACCTGATCGCCTGGTAAAAGGCAACACTGCTGACCGGCAGCACAAAAGCATTGGTGGAGGGATGGTCCAACACATGGACACTCCAGGGCATGCTGGCCATCTCTGCGATGTCCTGGTTCCGCTGGGCCAGGTGTTTCACCACCATCTCCACCGCCTTGTGTCTTGGGTCTTCCAGGGAAATAATGGACTCCTTGAATTCCTCCATCATCTAAGGCAATGCAGGAAGATATTGTTGCTAAAAAAAATTTCTCGAGGACAGGAAAGACCGAGACGGGAGAGTCCCAGGCCCCCGCTAGATTCGCACCTCCTCCGCCGTCAGATTGGCCAGCTCCATGAACTGCTCCCGGCTGAACACCAGGAGTCGTACGCGTCCCGTGATGGGGGATTCGTCCAGGTGCGTGAGACCGAAGGTGGCGAGGAGCGTCAGAAGGGCCGACACCACAGCTGCCAGGTACCACCTACGTCTCCAGGCCTCCTGGCGCAGAAACTCCTTCCGGTTGGGGGGGAGAGAGCGCCACCACTTGCCGATACTCCTGGGGAAAGAGGCACGCTTTGTGCTTCCAGCTCCCATACAGGCTGGGAACCTCTGCTCATCATCTGATAACAAAATGTTCTTTTATGTACATGTAAACATAACTGTCATGGTGTGGAAAAATATGGACTTTCATGTTAAATGAGACCCTGCCCTCATACCCATTAAAACAACACCTAATTATCCTCAGGAAAACATCCGGGAGCTATAAATATATACCCCGCATGTTAAGTCAAAAAGTGTCTAAATTAGAAACAGAGAAAACTTATCTATGCATCAAAACAATATTAAACCAAACTGAACAACCACTAGAGACCCAAGATGAAATTAAATTACTTATTAAAAAGGCGATTCAACACCTCAGAGGAACCTCACACAGACAATGATGCAGATTTGCTTATGTCCGAAGCTTACGTTTATCTTTTTGCTGTGTTATAATGCTGATCACAGATTTCACCAGCCAAACAATTTTTTTATAATCATTGCTTGCAATACTTTAACGATACGGTTTTGGAATCTGTACCTTCCCAGAATAATAACCACCAGCCTTTGTGCTGGTTTGACCAGAAGCCATAGAAGAGGGGCAGGCATGGCCCTGCAGGAAGATGAGGTGTGCAAGAGCTGGCAGGCGATGGCAGGAACATGACGGATAGGAGTGCTCAAGTGACACGTTCCCATAGTGCAATGCCTCAACTCTCCACCAATGGGCGAAGAACGACGCGTAAAGACAGTGCACTTGCTCCGCACAGCACCAGAGGGAACAGACCGACACGTAATGGCAGCGCAGTGCCTCCACAGAGCACCAGAGGGCGCAGTGCGACAAACAGCATAGTTCCTCCATTCAGTGCCAGGGGGCGCAGGGCAACGTGTACTGATGGCACAGCGCCTCCGTAGAGCTCCAGAGGGCACGGCATGACAAAATCCAGTGGCGTAGTTCCTCCATTCGGTGCCAGGAGGCGCAGCGCGTCCAGTGAGGACAGAAACATTGCAAGGCTTCCGGAGCAAACACGCCACTCGGAAACGAAACATTTCAGTCTTCTCACAATAACACCTGCAAACAGGAAGAATTAATGACAACGACCGTTATCCATTAAGCATACAAAATTAAACACATGATCAGCGGGTGTTTGAGATTAAACTACAAGTTGAACTACAAGTTATCTCCATGTGATATGTGCATAATCAGCTTCTAAGACATTTAATCAATATCACCATTTGTTGTACGGATTTTCTAGACCTATGCTGTAAGACATACACAAAATTAAATAATACACGTGAATCAATATTTAGAATATGCAGCTAATCACATGATAGTAATAGGGTTTATTTTGAACAGGTCGTATATTATTTTATACATATTTGGAAATTAAATATTTTTTAAGACATAGCAGAATTAACGATCAAACTAAAATGTCGCCGAACGCTTCAATGTTCGAAAACTGCAAACAAGTGAAGTGAAACTAAGTTTAATTATAGGTAAAACAGTAAGCTTGTTACTATTGTTTCTTTCACCTTTCTCCTGTCAGCGATATCCTTCAACTTTTATAAAAGTTCTTCCCCGACCATGCTGCGGCTAGCGTCCGATACAGTGCCACCTCGCCGCCTATAACCCAATATTTCCATAGTGACCTATATGGGATGTCAGGAAACAGTGCGGTTAAAGACCGGTCGAGGTCACACTGAATCAAAAAAAAATACACTATACTGGCCGGAGGGACGTTAGAAAGCACCCTATTGGAAGTACGCTACAGCTTCTACGGACGGCGTCTAGCGGTGTTACACTGAAAAACGCCGTAAATGCAACGGACGGACACTAAGCACTTGGTTCCGCTGACAACCTCAATATAAAAAAGCCAATATTTTAATTTGTCACATAAAGTGACAAATGACACAGTATAATGTAGCTCTATAAGCAGACTGAGAAACTGAGCAGACTATACTGTGCAAATTGCAAATACTCACACACACACATACACAAAATGTCTTGGCATGCTGAAGCATTAAGAGTTCCATTCACTGGAACTAAGGGTCCTAGCCCAACCCCTGAATTACAACCCCATACCATTATCCCTCCTTCACCAAACTTTACAGTTGGCACAATGCAGTCAGGCAGGTAACGTTCTCCTGGCATCTGCCAAACCCAGACTCATCCATCAGACTGCCAGACAGAGAAGCGTGATTCATCACTCCACAGAACATGTCTCCACTGCTCCAGTGTCCAGTGCAGTGTGCTTTGCATCACTCCATCCAACGCTTGCCATAGCACTTGCTGATATGAGGCTTGTATGCAGCTGCTTGGCTATGGAAGCCCATTCCATGAAGCTCCCAGTGCACACAGTTTTTATGCTGGGGAGAACCCTAGAGGAAGTTTTGAACTCTGCAATTATTGAGTCAACAGAGCTTTGGCGACTTTTACACACAATGCACCTCAGCACAGCTGAGTTTCTCTTATTCCTAAACGCTTCCACTTTGCAATAATACCTCTTAGAGTTCACTGTGGAATATCTAGCAGGGAAGCAGTGTTGGTCATTTCAGGTCTAGAAACTACAAACCAGAACAAGATTTTGTTTCTACTAACCAGTTGAGCATAAAGATTCACAGTCACAGAGTACACAACTGGTTGGAAGAAACAAAATTAGTAGTTTTTTGACCGTAATTACCAACACTACAGGGAAGATATTTTACAAACTGTCTTACTACACTGCCACTGTCAGTGTTAGTGTCAGTGGCAGTGGTGGCTTAATGGTTAGGGAAGTGCACTCGTAATCGAAAGATTGCAGGTTCAAATCCCCGACCAGCAAGACACCACTGAGGTACCCTGAGCAAGGTACCGCCCCCAAACACTGCTCCCCGGGCGCTGAATTAGCTGCCCCCTGCTATGTCACGAAAGTCACATATGGGTTAAATGCAGAGGACACATTTCGTTGTTGTGCACTGTGTCCTGTGGTGTGTCAACAATGACAAATATTTAAAATAAATAAATAAAATACTACAAAGGTGGAATCTTATGACAGCACCACACTTGAATTCACTGAGCTCTTCAGAAGATGTTTGTAAACCTGACTGCACAGCTAAGTAGGTTGACCAGCTAATCCATGTCAGGAGGAACACTTTGAGCTACTAGTGTCATGGACCGCTCTGAAGTCCCTACGATGTCACGCAGAGCTTCCCTGCCATGCCCCCCGGGTTTCCCAAGTAGGGAGTTGAGCAGTAGCCAGAACGCTCCCTCCCCGCCTGCCCCGGGAACCAGCAGAACTGGTTACTATCACCTCCCTCTGACAGCTGATGCCCATTGTAGTTAATGAAAGATCCTACTTATTCGTAGCCAGACGCGAGTTCCAGCATTACTGTCCTGTTACTGACCTCTGCCTGCCTGTTGCCATGACTGTTGTTCTGTTTTTCCCAATGACGAATATAGTCTAGCCCTCTGAGAACCGAAGAAGATCACCTGAACACCCGCCTGTCCCGGGATCCTGAGATCTGGAGTCTGTATGAAGACCATAGATAAAGGGGCTGTTTCCCTCAGGGGGGGCAGAGACAGACACAGACAGACACTGAACCGGCCGTGTGAAACATCTTTCTGTAACATCTTCATTCTGTCTTAATAAACTGCTTAAGCTTAAGGAACCTGCCTCATCATTCAACTAAAATAACCTGATGTTTCACTGAAGAATTCTATCAACAGGATGAAAGATGCCATCAACTCCCAGCTCTGTGACCAACAAGCTGGCTTTCACAAGAAGAGATCCTACTCTGACCAGATGACAATGCTGCATATCACTCTGGAACAGTCATTGGAGTGGAACTCACTTCTCTTTGTCAGTTTTATCGACTATGAGAAGGCATTTGACAGTGTGGATAGGCAAACCCTATGGTTACTGCTGGGACACTATGGGGTGCCAGAGAAGTTCAGTAACATCACCAGGAACTCATGAAGGGATGACTTGCAGAATGATACATGGCCAGCAATTTGCTAGTGCCTTCAGGATGCCTGAAGAGACCTTGTTGGTGGCCTTGGCCCAAAGCGGGGCCACAGGTATAGATGGTGAAACGGGTGAACGTTTTATAGGTTTGGGCAGTGTTAAGGTAACACAGTATACTGTGGCACGTTCAAATCCCAAATCCTTATGGCAAAATTAGCCGGAAACACCACCAGGCAAATTTTATCACCAACATTTCAAAAGACTGGATTAGTGTCGCTTTTGAAAATACCAGAGAACGTGATATAATGTCAGGACAGTATAAATTATCTATAGAGATAAAATGTAAAAATGAGATATGTAGATACCTCCTCACCTCCTTCAACAATTATTCTTCTGCTCTTTCATGACTGACCTCTGCTCTGTGAAAATCTCTGCTGCCACTTACAGCAAACACCTAACCAATTTCACAGCCACAGTTGACTCACATGATTTCCACTGGACAAAAAAATCTGGGCTACATGTACGCCATCCGGTGCAAACCCCTAATGACGAAATTTGCGTCACCTCACCCTGTGTGTGACCAAAGGCAAACATGGAACAGTGAGTCAGTCAAGCCATCTGCAAATCAGCATGCTAGTTGTGAAGTACACAAACCACACTGCAGAATGCAAATATTTCAAAGCATCAGTCACTGAGGTGGCTGACATAACTTTCAATTTCTATCCACATTTGGCAAGGAAACATACAGACAGGTATGTAGGCTAAAAGAATGGTGTGCAAAGGGAAAAACATCCAGTATGCGGCAGTCCTGTGGGCGAAAATGCCTTGTTGATGCTAGAGGTCAGAGGAGAATGGGCCGACTGATTCAAGTTGATAGAAGACCAGCTTTGACTGAAATAACCACTCGTTACAACCGAGGTATGCAGCAAAGCATTTGTGAAGCTTGAGGTGGATGGGCTACAACAGCAGAAGACCCCACCGGGTACCACTCATCTCCACTACAAATAGGAAAAAGAGGCTGCACGAGCTCACCAAAATTGGACAGTTGAAGACTGGAAAAATGTTGCCCGGTCTGATGAGTCTCGATTTCTGTTGAGACATTCAAATGGTAGAGTCAGAATTTGGCGTACACAGAATGAGAACATGGATCCAACATGCCTTGGTGCAGGCTGGTGGTGGTGGTGTAATGGTGTGGGGGATGTTTTCTTGGCACACTTTAGGCCCCTTAGTGCCAATTGGGCATCGTTTAAATGCCACGGCCTACCTGAGCATTGCTTCTGACCATGTCCATCCCTTTATGACCACCATGTACCCATCCTCTGATGGCTACTTCCAGCAGGATAATGCACCATGTCACAAAGNGGGGGGGGGGCATACTGAAAGGTGTTAAAATAATAATAAGCAGATTTCTTCATCTATAAGCAACAGAAAGGTAACTTCAACAGATCAGGCCGTGAGAATCTGTTCAGTCATCACATGACATGACATCACCCTTCCTGGTTTATCATGAGGAAGGACAGGTGACGTCATTCTGCGCATTTTGTTGGTGGGTCTGCGGCTACTTCACACCCACCTGCATCAGTTTGCCCTGGATCCAGTGACCCAGCGCAGCCAGGCTGTCCCGTGGGCAGAGGGCCCAGATTGCCGTCAGGAGGATCAGGGAGAGGAAGTTCACCAGATGGGACAGGCTTACTTGCTCCGCCTTCAGGTGGTGTCGGGACAAGGAGAGATTAGTGCTATATTAGAGAGATAAGCAATCCTGCTTTTGTCAAACCATATCAGTCGCCGCACTAAACGCCATTTTCAACCTTCTCACACAACCACATTTGAAAAACAGCCCCACCACCCACAACAAATTTTAACCCCCCCGCAACATCTGGGAATAATTAAAATGTGAATTGAGACTTTGACTTTCCCTGCCGCCCCCTAGAGGATGGGCTCCCTGTCTGAGTCTGGTTCCTCCTAAGGTTTCTTCCTTCTAGGGAGTTTTTCCTTGCCACTGTTGCCTCTGGCTTGCTCACTTTAATAATTCTTGTATATCATACGCATACGATGAGAACACATTTGTAGCTAATGTAAATCCCACAGAATTTGCTCATTCCTGGGTATTTACTAGAGGTGGGGACAAGTGATTGACTGTCAAGTAAGTCTCAGTCTTACCACTCAAACTCCAAGTCCAGGCAGAGTCTAAACAGGCAAGTCACGTCTCAAGTCAAGATAGTCAAACACCAAGTCAAGTCTCAAGTCAAGTCTCGAAGTCCTAAACAAGTCTGATTATAATTCTAATCCTTTTTTTTTAATTTAATGCCACCACAAAGGTACATACTATACATATTATATATACTACAGTAGTATCTTGAAACACAAACTTAATTTGTTCCAGAAGGCTGGTCGAGTTGCGATTTGGTGGAGTTTCAAGTCGAATTTCCCAATAAGAAATAATGTAAATGAATTTAATCATTTACCAAATGATTGCTTATTTAAACATATCTACTTACCTAATAATAAAAAGCATTAACCATCAATATGAAACTAATACACACATGAAAAACCACACATGCAAAAGCGATAAACATGAAATAAATAACAATCCCATACTCTGAAATTACTGAATTCCTTTTTAAGTTCTACAGTTACTCTCACTACTTTCCTCTTTGGTTTGCTGCTATCACTGCTCACTTTCTTAGGGGGCATGATTACTGTATTGTTAAATGTACTGTAGATAAAGCACAAGAGAATTCATACCCAACCCAGGAACACACGTGAAAAGGTACCGCGAGACTGAGAGCGATTCATAGGCATCAGCATCCCAGTAGGTCCATTTGCCTTTATGTCAGCCATCAGAGACGCATGTCAGTCCGTACAAGTTTTAGAAGATCTGTTTTGTTTTGTTGTGTTTTGAGTTTTCGGTCTAGTTGCAGTTAGATTTTTCTCGACCGACTTGAGCAACTCCTCAATTGGTAGAGTTGAACCTGCCTTGACTCATACAAGTTTTAGCAGGAACAATCCAGTTCCAAAATACAGGTCAAGGTAGAAGTCGAAAAATATTCAACACACCCGTTCAATGTCCTAGTTGGTCGAATTAAGAGGCGTTTGAGTTCCAAGGTTCTACTGTATATTATTACAGCTATATACAAAGCAACTTTATTGTGAAGGATTATACTCAGACGTGTTTAGGACTAGTTTAGGATGTGATACTTTGATTTTCACCCACATTCACTCACATCCCCTTTGCCGTATGAGACAGGGTCCATCTGATCATCTCAGTCCCAAGCATGTACCCAGAGCTCTCCACACCGATGGTGTTCCTTCCCAAGACCTGACACCCATTCCGCCTTCTATTTCCCAGCTGTTTTCACTCCCCACTGCTTGCTTAAACCCACCTCCAATGCCGTACCCAAATGGGGACCCTGTCCCATCCTTCATCCCCGTTACACGTGGGTCTGTTAGCTGTCCCATCAGTTACTTATGCATTACTTCCTTCCTGCTTCATTCCATACCAACTCACCTAGATCTGCAATTCATGTCATGGATTTTCTTGGAAAAAAAATCATGTGAAAACTTCCATCAAATTCATCCTATACCTGTATTCCAAATACTTTTTTAATTATGATCTGAGAGCTTTTTAAAGGTTCTTTGTATGTGTATTCTAAACATCACCGGTTGTTTATTTTTCATTGGATTTGGTTGGAATTAGTACTGAACATCCAAGAAACCTTACGGATAATTTGCAATATGTATTCATGTAAATAGTTCTGCAGCAGTGTTTCCCAACCCGGTCCTTGGGGACCCACAGACAGTCCACATTTGTGCTCCCTGCCAGCTCATGAACCGTCGGCACGTCCCAGTGGACTGGATTGGGAGGCACCACTTTACAGTAATCAACCTGAATGTGAATGAAACTGAATGACCAGGTCCACGGATTTCTTCAACAGTAGTCACCTGTACACATAGTTGGGTAATCAAGGTCCAGAGCGTAAAAGTCCAGACCGGGATTTTGTTTCAACCAACCAGTTAAGCATAAAAAGTCACAGTCGCAGAGTACTCAGCTGGTTGGTTGAAACGAAATCCCGGTCTGGACGTTTATGCTCTGGACCTGAATTACCTAACTCTGCCTGTACTGTTTAATTATCAGAACACACTCAGGTCCAGAAACCATTACAACATTAATAATCCCATGAGTTCATAATTCACTGTAAACTGAAACAATGCAAAGACACAGTGTGTCAAAATACTGATGTTAGAATCATTTGTTTGAGAGAAAAGACATGCAACGTGTCTCTGCATAAAAAGGAATTAAACATTGCAGTAATACAAAGTCAATAATTAAATTCAGCCAGAAGTCTATTTGAACTAGGCTCTGGGTAGATGGGCAATGATTCCAGAGTGAGACATGAATCAGAGGCTTTAGAGAAAAACACTTTAACGAGAGAAAAGTGGCGAGGCAGGGTCTGAGGTCACAGTGTCATGAACGACAGGCATACTACAGACATGGGGAGCATCCCCCACCCCCACAGCCCCACGGCGAACAGACTCACAGAGTGTCCTATTATGGCGTGGGCCATCTCATGACCCAGGACAAAGGTGAGCTGATGAATATCAGCGATGGCATCCAGCATGCCAGTGAAGACAAATATTTCCCCGTTCTGGAAGGAAGGACGTGGAAGCATTAAACAGCAGAGAAACCATTTTCAGCTCCCTCTCCTCCATACTTCCTGACAGTGTGCGAAAACATATACAGCTCTGGAAAGAATTGAGACCACTGTATATTTTTAAAAAGATTTGCATTTTTAAATCCTAGTTTAATCCTGGTTCTACTGGCAGAAGGCTACGATGAGCAGCACGGTGCTTTAAGGTTCAAAATTTCTAAGACAGCAGTAAAGAAGACAAACATGAAGCAGAAGACACTGGGAATAACCAGAACCCAGCCAGGCAGAGGGCAGAAGCAACATCCTAATGCCTGAGATGACCGTTAACTTATCTAACAGTTTGTCATGAATCAGAGGATGTACAGTGGTACCTCAATTCGCAAACTCATTAGAACTCGAATTTCTTAAAAGTCGAACCAACCAGCTTGAAAAAAAATTACCTAGAGCTCGATCTGAATCTCAGAAGTCAAACCGTGAACGCCGACATAAGATAACTTATACGCGTGGGGAAATGAGTCACGCGGCAAATCTCTCAGCGGAAACAAAGGGTAACGCTTCAGTCTCAGCCTTGCATTCGCTGTGANTCCATGTTAGGAGGCTGTGTGAAGACAAAGCAAGTTTGTAGAAATAGCCCATTCTATGCACAGATTGTGGTGTTAAAACAATTCGGTTACTCTTTTCATGTAGGACTTTACCTCTGGCATCTCCTTGTATGTCTTTAGCCGAGGCAGCTGGCTGCGGAGACGTGCATGTTTCGCTGCCGCGCTCTCCGGCTGTGGGAGTGAACCCCCGTCATTTTCAGTTGTTTCAGGCTGTTTGAAGACAAGGCAAGTTTGTAGAAATAGCAGATATAAAAAAAACATATATAAAACTCAATACCACTTTTAGTACGGGGGAAGTACCTTTGGCACATCAACGTTGTTTGATGTTATTTTGACTTTAATTGTAATTTTGATTTTGATTTTGATTTTAATTTTGGGGTTCTCCATGTTTAAAACGCTAAGACACGCACTATACGTCCACTCGCCAAGATGCTCAAAAGAACAGTGAGGTTCTATCTCCAGGAGATTCAAATATATACAGCTTACTATGGAGTGATTACATAATCATAGAATCTTAAGGAGATTCAAATATAAACAAGCTGGCAGCCTAATATGGAGTGATGACATAACCATAGAATCTTAAGGAGACTCAAATATAAACAAGCTGGCAGCCTAATATGGAGTAATTACATAATATAATCTTCTAGATTCTATGCTTCAAATATATAGCTCTATATGACACATGCATGTACAGTAATGTGTAATGGCCAAGACAAAAAAAAAAATGTTTGATATAATGATGCAAAAATTTCAACCCAAGACAGATACAACGCTGAAAGATTACCAGAACACTGATGGTTAAATATTAAATAAAGTGGTACCTCAGAACTTGAACCTAATCCCTTCAGAACTCGGGGTCAAATCCTAAAAAGTTTGGGTTCTGATCGAATCTTCCCCATAAGAAATAATGGAAAACCAATTAATTGGTT